CAGGAGACGCAGCCTGTGGGACATGCGATTGCTGAGCCTGCTGCTGTTGCTGCTCCAGCTGATGCTCGCTCTCGGCGCAGCTGCTGCCTATGCTCATGAAGTCATCCTCATCATCCGGCTGATGCTTGTTGACCCTTTTGTGCTTCCGTCCATTTGCCTTTGCTTTGCGTGACTTTTTCGTTGTGGTCTTGTGTGAAGCTCTACTACGGCTATCCTCGTGCTCATCGTCGCCATCCTCCACATGATCCTCCAGCTTCAGGTGGTCCTCAGCATCGCTGTTGGCCCAACTAAAAAGAATTTTATGTTTTAATAAGGATATTGACTGTAATAAGCATATTAAAAATCACTATCGAGGACTTACCCCTTGTCGTCCTCCTCTTCGTTTTCCTCTTCGTCGTCTTCGTCATCGTCGTGTATGTGCAATACGCTGGGCGGCGACTGATAGATCCGCTCAATCACCGAGAATTCGCCGTCCTCCTTCTCCACGCACTCGACAATGTGCTTGGGAGTTTCTTGGACAATGAAGTCGCCGTTGTCCCGCTCCAAGTAGTGAGCCACTGGCGACTCGGCGTAACGCAGCACAGACGCACTGGACGAGGCGGGAGAGGCGCAGGCCGCTTGGGCCGCAGCATTCAGCAGCGCGCCGAATGGGGAATTGGTTGCCTGACGACTGCTGCTAGCGCGCCCAACGGTAATGGAGGACATCAAGGCCGAGGAGGAGCTAGCAGCGGCGCAGCTAGCGACGGCATAATTGCTGCTGCTGCTGCTGCTACTACTGCTACTGGCTGCTGCAAGGGACTGTTGATGCTGTGGCGGATATTGCAGTCTTAATGAGGCAGTCGACAATGCTGACGGAATCGTGAGCTGTGGCGGTGGCGGTGGCGGTGGATTCAGGAAGATTTCCGTGTGGAGTTTACTATGCTTGCCACTCGGTGGTGCAAGGTTAATGTTATGTTGCAAGGTTATGTGTTGCTGTTGTGGCTGCTGCTGCTGCTGTTGTTGCTGTTGTTGCTGCTGCTGCTGCGGTTGTTGTTGTTGCTGCTGCTGCTGCTGTTGCTGTTTGTTTTGGTTATGCTGAGATCGAATTTGACTGATGGCGGCGCCATAGGCGGGCGGTGGCTTCTGATGTGATTGTGTTGYTGTTGTCTGCTGCGCAAAGAGCTGCAAGAGAGAATTGAATATTTTTAATTGATATACCAGATGTGTGGAAAGCTATTGAGACACTCACCTGCAGAGGTGGCGGCGGTGGCAGCGCAGCTGCATAGGTATACTTTAGGGCCGGCTGCTGTTGCTGCTGCTGCTGTTGCTGAAGGTGGGCAAAGTGGGCAGCCTGCTGCTGTGAGGCCAGATACTGATGCTGCTGCTGCTGCGGCTGTTGTTGCTGGTGTGGCGCCTGTGGTATGACCAGCGTGGTGGCACCACGTGCAAAGCCGTGCACCGCAGCTGGTGCCGCTGGCGTCTGCTGGGATTGCTGTTCATAGCGATAGTCGGAATAGATGGCGGTCACGCTGCTTGTGGTGGGTGTGTTTGATGTGTTGGCTGGCGCCTCAGTCGTGGGTGGCGCGTTTTTTATTGCCTTTATCGGTGGATTGCTCAATTTGTTATTGTTGTTATTGTTGCCGCAGCTGCTATTGCTGATGCTGTTGCTGCTGCTGCTGGGCAACGCAGCTTTGGCTGTTGTTGATTTAGTTGCTGCCGCTGCCGCTGCAGCTGCAGCTGTTGCTGGTGGTGCTGGTGGAGGTGGTGGTGGTGGTGAAGATGCTGGTACAACTGGTTTGACATCAACCGCATTTGTGGCTGACAATGAGGTGGAGCTCGTGGCGCCATCGCCTGAGAGCAAAGCTGCTGCCAGGGCGCTGCCCATGCCATTGTTGTTTACAATGGTCATTTGCACCAGCGCCTTGATGACCTGTTCCTTGGGATGTGTCTCCAGATGATCGGAGAGATTCATGCCCGCGTGCAGGTACAAGGTGCACACGGGACACTGCACACTGTCCACCATGATGATGATTGGGCTGCTAACGCTGGTTAATCAAGCTCGTACGGTTGCAGCTACTGCACTCGACCTCTTACGTTCTCTCTCTCTCTCTCTGTCTCGCTCAATATCAATTTAGAGTCATAAAACTGTGACTTTTGGTGCTGTTGTTCGTGTGGCGGCCATTTTGCTCAATCCTTGAGCGGCGCTGGAAGTGAAGAGAATAAAAATAACAAAATTGTACGTGATGTAAACGTGTGTATATACGATACATATATTTATGCGAAGCTCGATAATAATTGCCGTAAGCTGACACTGATATCCAACTGATATGGCAACAGCAAAGAATGCAAACCCCGGATCGTTGCCACATAATCTGCGAAAACGTGCATTATTTATTTGCTCAGAGCAAAAGCTCTGGCTATGGGAAATTCAAGTGTGTCGCCTCTCTCACAAATACCAATTGAGGCGGCGACTAAGCAAAGGACGTGAATCGTGAATCGAAATCAAAAACAACAAATAAACATAAATATGCGTATGTATCGTAGTGCTTATTATGCAGCTACACATATGAAGATGAGCGAGTGTGTGCGTGTGCAACGGGAACGGGAACGGGAAACGGAGACAACAACAGCATCGGTTAAAGCTTCGTCCGGCTGTGAACTGCTTGCTATGGAGGAAGAAGAGCGCCGAGTGCAAATGGAATGGAATGGAATGCCCAGTTGTGCCAACAGCAGCAGCAACAACAACAGCAACTTTTGGAACAGCTTTTTCTGTGCATTCAACTTGTGAGGACGATGAGCACACGGCAACATCGCGATAATGACGAGTTATTTGCTGGGCATGAGCAATAAATGCAATGAATCAGCGAATACTGTGACTTTTCAATACAACACACACTAAACATCAGTGACTGTGATTTTCAAATGATTTATGCCAGCGATTCAGATCAATAATTTACAATAAAATACTAATAACAAATATACAAATAACAAAATATACAAATAACTGATTTCAATAATATGATCAAATACTCTATTTTTCAAGCGTTTCAAATGGCTTCAAAAATATTTGCTATGCGCGATTGGCATTTTCGTTATCAATATTATTGGTATAACTCGATATGTGTAAACATTTGCATTCCAATGCATTGTCGCACCTTAACAGCAATCGAAAGGAATTTGATTTTGTATCTTGAAGCCCTTCTTTTATACAAGAATCCCAGCTGCGAGAGAAAACAGCTGCTCACCATAAACAACAGAAATGATTCTCTAATTATCTATCATGCTTTGCAAAGCAGAAAAGCACTTTCCTTGTGCTTCATCTAATTATCGAAAAAATCTAGCTAAGCAATGCTTTCAAGTTAATAGTATTTATGGGATATTTGTTTAAATGTACCGTAATTACCAACTACGATCTAAATGCCCACTAAGAATATCGATATTCGTTACAAGTACTCACACACACGTTTGTATACAAGTGTGTGTATACTCGAGTACATCGTCGCTCATCTGTGCTCTAGCGCTGCTTTGTTGTTGTTAAGCACTGGCAATGCCGCTGGAAATGGTCAACTTTTTGCGTAGTTTTTTTTTTTTTTTTTTTCGTGCACATCCACAATGGGTAATTTTTTGTTTGTTTTATTTTATCTAAATATTGTTGTTGTATGTATTTGTCGTATATGGGCACTACACGTATAAGGGTTGTGCTGGGGCTGCACAGAAATAAAAACAGCAGCAATGTCTACGTCTGTTGCTATTGATTTTTCCTTCGAGCGAAGCTTACAATGCAAAGCGATGAACAAGTCGCACAAAAATCAAAAGTGCGTGAGCGAGCACATACACATACATACAAACATCGATACCTCGTCTCCAATGAGTACATACACTAACATTACAAAACTAAAAAGAACTCATGTGAAGAGTGCAATTGCCACCTTCTTCTTTACCTACCTTCTCGCTTCTACTGCTACTGCTGCAGCGGTGTGTGTGTGTTAGTATGATCTTGCTCAGGACAGCTAACTGCGGGCTATGCCGAGCTCTGATTGCGTTTCGTATTCTGATGCGTTGATTTTCCACATACGCACAAAGCACTACCGTTTGCTATTCTTGCCCACACACACACACGCACACACACACACATGCACAACAAGGTAGACACAATTTCAGAGTATTTCCGCTTTGTGTTTCTTTAATTTTCTCTGCTCTCTTTTGAATTCATTCAAGGAGAGAAGTCCACACACACACACACTGACAACAATGTTTTATGAGCACTAATTGTAAATGAATTGTAATTGCATTTGCATGGGATATGTGTTCAATAAAAACTTTTATATACAGGCGGCGTCAATATCGATCGTAGTGTGTGCGTGTGTGTTTGTTGAAGGCAAGGGCAAGATTTCTCCAATAAACATGCGGGGGTATGGAAGAGAGCGTAGTATCCTTGATGGGGCACCTGCAGCTGTTATTATATATGTATGTATGTATGTATTTTGTATGTGTATATAATTGTTGCGTTGTGGTTTGGGAGCTCCTTGGTCTTGGTCTGGTCGTCGCCTCTTCGCCTCGTTCAATGACACAGAAATCTTTCTTCTCGTCTTTTGCTTTGTGCGCTCCTTCTTCAATATACAACTGAGCTTTTATATACATATATGCTGTGAATGCGAGTGCGAGTGCGAGGCCATTGCTGCGTTTATCTTCATGTGTGTGTGCGTGTGTGTGCTACACACAAAGTAAATTTTCAATCACGTTTTTCATGCACTTGGTATAGATTTTTCTTCGGGCATTTATGCTAAACGGATGCACGCCTTTATTAGCCACAACTTGGTGATATTTTTAGTGATTTAAATTCACTTTGCACTATTAAATAGCCGTCATTTCGATTTCACCTTGCGACAAATGAAAAATTACAACACCAGGCGTTAGAGTGCTGTAAAACTTATGGTTTTAGCGTTTCAATGTTTGCCAACACTAAACTGTGCTGAGCAACTCTGTGTGGCTGCATCATTGGGAATTTTTTTTAGCCGACTGTTCGCATTCACATTCAGAATAATTAATAACAATTGATAATATTATTTAGCGAACGTCGAATAAATAATATCAAAATGACCGATAAAGCACAAGAACAGAGTATTATGGATAAGTCCATGCGGTCAGTGTTCGTAGGCAACATACCCTACGAAGCTACCGAGGAGAAGCTAAAGGAAATTTTTAGTGAAGTCGGCCCGGTACTTTCGCTTAAGTAAGCCCCAGTGATCTGTAAATCAGAATTTCTTATAAATAAAATTTCCATTACAGACTTGTGTTTGATCGCGAGAGCGGCAAACCCAAAGGGTTTGGCTTCTGCGAGTACAAGGATCAGGAAACAGCACTGAGTGCCATGCGCAATCTCAATGGCTACGAGATTGGTGGGCGCACTTTGCGAGTGGACAATGCGTGTACAGAGAAATCACGCATGGAGATGCAGCAGCTGTTGCAGGGACCACAAGTAGAGAATCCGTATGGCGAACCCTGTGACCCAGACGATGCACCTGAATTGATTACCAAAACAGTTGCCTCCCTGCCGCCGGAGCAGATGTACGAGCTGATGAAGCAAATGAAGCTGTGCATTGTTAGCAATCCCTCGGAAGCACGTCAGATGCTTATGCTGAATCCGCAGTTGGCCTATGCTCTGCTACAGGCCATGGTGGTGATGCGCATCGTTGATCCGCAACAGGCATTGGGTATGCTTTTCAAGGCTAACCAAATGCCTCCCGTTCTGGGTGGCAACCCTCACGCCAATTCGGGTCCCATGCCCATGGGCTCAGCGCCACAGCAACAACCAGCGCCGCAGCAGCAGCCGCCCGTACAGCCAGGGGGTGTTGGTGGTCCTGGACCGATGCAGCCCATGCCTGTGCCCGGGCCGAACTTCAATAACATGCATTCGAATGACATCGACTTGCGCATGGTACCCGGTGGGCCGGTTAATATGGATCCACGTATGATGGGTCGTAATCTGGACCAGGACATGCGCCAGGTGCCAGGCCCCATGCCCAATCCCGTACCGCCGCCACTTATGGATCCACGCACTCGCGCCCAAATGCAGCCGCAACAACAGCAAGGACCGCCAGCCGCCCCCATTCCATACCCAAGCGATCCACGCCAGCGTCCAATGGATCCTCGTCTACGTGGTGCCATGCCACCAGGACCGGTGCAACAGCAGCAGCAGCCGCCTCCACAGGTGCAGCAGACAGTGACTCAGCAGCAGCAATCGGCGGCGCTGCAGCTGCAAAGTCGATTGGGTGCCCATGGCGTGTTGCCATCGGATGCCTCAGACCAGGAGAAGGCCGCACTCATTATGCAGGTGTTGCAGTTATCTGACGATCAGATTGCCCAGCTCCCGCCTGAGCAACGCGCCAGCATTCTGGTGCTCAAGGAGCAAATAGCCAAAACCCGAACTGCACGATAAATAAATAATTTGCGACTTTTATTGTACAACATTTGAATGGGAAACTAATAATAAAGATTAATCAAGAGGATTCATGTCGGTTTTGGAATTGTGTCAGTGAACAGAGACCAAGGTCTGGTGCAGCTTCTGCACGGTGGTATTTAGCATTTGCCGCAGCACCTCATCTTCGGCGCATTGCACAGTCTGCAAATGAAGAGATTTAGAATTTGTAGATATTATAATTATTCTCTTTTGTGAATTAGTATTTACCAATGTTTCCAGATTGATCTCGGCGTGCTTGCCGCTAACTGTAACCGGCAGCAAGTCGCCTTTGAATAGCTTGGGCACACAGCTGTCGCCGAAGGTGTCCTGCAGCGTCTCGATGAGGCACTCGCGAAAGCGGGATTCCTCCGATTTGGTTTGCTTGGTGGCACCCTTGATGTTTGTGCCACCCAGTTCGGATTGCATTAGGCAGGCCAGTACGGCATCCGCATAGACATCATTCACATGGGTGGCATGCCATTCCATGATAATAATCTTTTGCTCCACGGTAAGTTCGACACAATTGAAGACGCGCAGCTTGCGATCCGGCTCAATGATCTCCACACAGCCAGCGCCAATGCGATCGAGCAGCAGTTGAAGCGTGGCCAGGGAACTGGTCCAGGGTATCGACTGACGCTGGGTGACCACCGACATGCTCATGTCGGTGTACTCTGAAAGAGAAGGGGCGGAGATTGAGTAAGAGCTGCCCACCTGAAATGCTGCTTAATTCTACTTACTGCCCAGATCCGAGGGTGCTAGCAGATGGTACTTGAAATCGCGCTTCACCAGCACGCCGGAGAGCTTGCTGCCCACCTCTGGCTTCTTCGCTGCCAGATGACCCATCACCTTAGCTGTCTTCTCGCCACGGAAATATAGATCTACAGCGTGAGTGTTGCGGGGATTGTAGAACTTGATGTCCGTGCTGGCATCTGCTTCATATTCACGCTGCAGCGCCAGCTTCAAGCGCGACATCTCATTCTGTTCCCCGTGGACGAGGACCACATGGTTGGGTCTTAGCATGCGGATAAACTCGCTTGTCTGCTGGTAATCTGTATGCGCCGAGAAGGATATGTAGTCGACGGACATGTTGAGCGGCAGCTTCTGACCAGACAGGGTAGTGATCTCCTCTGGCTCGGATAAGATGGTCTTGGCCAAAGTGCCCTCCACACAGTAGCCGGCAATGATGACGCCATTCTTGGGATCTGTGCACCAGCTCTCGAAGAGCTCCCGCGACAGGCCCGACTGCATCATACCCGGCGACGCCATGATCACACATGGCCCAATATCATCAAAGTGATCGATGCCCTTCAAATTGGAAATGTGACGAAAGACAAATGGATTGTTCACAGCGATCTGACGGCGAATTCGATCGTTCATGGCATTGATGTAGGTCTGATAGACGGCCATGCACTTCTTGGCCAGCGAGGACGCATAGTAGATGGGTATTTCGTGCAGATCCGGATTCTGTGACCAGAACTCATCCAATATCAGCAACAGCTCCTGAGCACGGCCCAAGGCGAAGACCGGAATGAGACAGCGTCCGCCCTGCATTACGATTTTCTGCACCAGCGATGTGAAACGACTTTCGCGATCCTCGCGCTTCTCGTGTATGTGTGTGCCATAGGTTGACTCTGTGATCAGCACATCTGGCTTTTTGGGCGGCACCTCGGCGGCCATCAAGTGGCGATCCTCTTGACGCGAAAAGTCGCCCGTATAAAGGATTTTAATGCCAGCGATCTCTATCATAAACATTGCAGCGCCCAGCACATGGCCAGCGTTGTAAGCGCAGAAGCGGACACCCATCACATCTCGTTCCTCGTGAAAATTGATTGTCTCGATTTTCTCCATGGATGCCTCCAGATCGGCTTCCGTGTAAAGCATCTGCTCGGTGGATATATTGCTGATTTTAATGTAATCTGAGAGCATCCAGCGATAAATGGCTTTGGTGGCATGTGTCATAAAGCAGCGACCGCGAAAGCTTGTCTTCATAAGGAACCATGGCAGAGCACCGCAGTGATCCAGGTGGAAACTAACAATCAAATTAAAATATATTAAAAATGCAATTAAAATTGGAAAGTTTTACTACGCACTGTGATATGAATAGCAAGTCAATTTCATCAGCTTCTATCAAATCCACATAGGGCAGGGCATCCATGCCAGACAGTCCCGGGTGTATGCCGCAGTCCAACATTATTTTCTTGCCCTTGAACTCCAGCATGATGCAGGAGCGTCCCACTTCTTGGCCAGCTCCACTGGAAGAGGGAAAAAATTCATATCAGTCTTCATTTAAGAAAGTTGCTGGCTGCTTACAGCGGCTTGATTTGTAATAGATCACTCTCTTCATCGGGCACTCGTGTGTCATTATTTGATTGGGCTTGCGCCATTCTGTTTTACTTTATCAAATTAATGTTTAATACTTTCGACGTTTGCCGGCAACAAAACGCGTTCAATTAATTCACATATGATGTCTGCAATAATCGATTAATAATTATCGATTGCCATTATAGAAACTTAAAAAAATACTGTCTCTTTGTTGTGAAATACATATGTATATTGTTTATATTTTGATGCGGAAATAGAATATCTTTAAAAATTAATTAAACAAAGTTCCTAGTTTTGACTGAAACATTTTACAGATAACCTTTATTTAATGTGATAAAGAAAAATACCGAATGACCTGGTTACTGTAGCCCTAGTATCTGAAGTTGAATTTCATTGTATTTGTTGTGCATGCAAGTAAAACTAATATCTTAATCAAATGCAAATGGTTGGCTCTAGCTACGATGGTAAATATATGTGCTAAACTATTCACCTGTATATGTGCTTATACCGCATTTTAAATCAAACACCAAGTGCTACGCAAGCAGGCGCGCACCCTGGAAAATGAAATCGACCTCAAACTTGTGGCATTCAGTAAAATCGGAGCTGGCAGCAGCATAAGCAGCAGCAACAGCAGCGCTGCTGACACATCACCTCTGCTCGGCGAGCATGTATTCGATTCACTATCTGCTGAAATAGAGCAAATGCTCGACAAGGTAAGTTACATATATGTCAACCACTGCAAATCCTATCCAAGTGATCCAATTGATGTCTGCAGTTATCAACACTGAATGAATCGATGTCGGAGCTTCCCGCAACTGGAAGCGCTGCAATGCACACTCTGCAGCGGCACAGGGAAATACTCCAGGGCTACAGACAGGAATTCAACAAGATCTGTGCCAATCACACGATGCGCATCGAGCGAGAGGAGCTGTTGCGCGGCTCAGGGCTGGCCACTAGCGGTAGTCCCTCGATCTCTGGACTGAGTCGTCGTGAGATGTATATGAAGGAGAGTGGGCACTTAAGTAGCGCCAGTAACATGGTCAATGATCAGATAAACATCGCCATTGAGACACGCGATAACCTGCATGCACAGCGACAGGCATTCAAGCGTCTGCAAACTCGCCTCAACGACATTTCCAATCGTTTTCCCCTAATTTCAAGGTGATATAACAATGACATTTATATTTACGAAATGCCTAACTCAACTTTTAATTGTATATTGCAGTTTGATACAGCGCATCAATATCAAAAAGCGACGAGATTCGCTTATCTTAGGGGCGGTAATTGGCTTCTGTGTCATTCTGCTGCTAATTTATGCCTTTAATTAAGGCGAAGCTTTGACACATTTCTGACAATTATTTCTGTATGTTTTCTCCATTTGGTATATGTATGTGTATAATCAACTTGTGATAGCAATAAAATGTAATATTTAAGTATATGCCAGTTCATTAATAAACCAAAAATACATAAATTGAACAAATTATTAGAGGGAAACTCGACATTTGCCCAATTTTTAAATTAAAAGCTAACTTAACGAATCGTTAATTTGTCGACAATCGATAGGGCTGTTATCGAAATAGTGGAATGGTACTTGACAACTCTGACGCAACAGCTGCTGCTTGCGATGTGATAACAATTTTAACTTTTCCCACACGCCTCACAAATTAACATAGTTTCATCCAAATACTGTATAAAAAATAGATTGTTTGCTAAAACACAGTCATGTCAGTGGTACCCAAGGATGATCCCAAGGCCGCTGAGGCACCCAAGTCCAGAGTCTTAGACACCGCAGAGCTTGACAGAATGGCCATGCATTTTGTGGGCAATCTGAACAGATATCGCGAGAATATAATAATACCCAAAGGCAATGGGCCGGTCAAAATCAAAACAAACGAGGAGAAGCTCATCGAAACAGCCGTGGAGAGCTGTGCCTTCAAGAGCGCCATGGCCTGTGTAATGGGTGAGCTGAAACTGGAAGTGTATTCATGATGGTTTTTACTCAGCTTTATTGGTTTTTCCTTGCCAGGCTATGGACTGGGCGCAGCTTTGGGCCTGTTCAGCGCCTCGGTGAATCCAAATATGGCCGATCCGTTCGCCAATGAAAAGAAACAGACGGCGCGTGAGGTGTTGCGTGAGATGCGCGGCACAACGCATTCGTATGCCAAGAATTTCGCGCTAATTGGCGCCGTCTTCTCTGTGGTTGAGTGCACCATCGAAAGCGTAAGTGAGATAGCGGCGATGTGTCTATTGCTCACTCTTATATCTGCATTTCTATTCACCAGCAACGTGGCGTCACCGATTGGCGTAACGGCACCTATGCAGGCGGCATTACCGGCGGCTTGATTGGTCTGCGAGCGGGCATTAAGGCAGGAATCATTGGCGGCCTGGGCTTTGCGGCATTCTCCACGGCGATTGATTACTACATGCATATGAGATAAGGGGTGTAGTTAACGTCGTGTGTATATATGTAGCTCGTATAAATGTTTGTTCTTAATTACAAATCTCGTCTTTATGCCATTAACCTTTAAAGTTGCCGCACCGGAAATGCACGCAAATCAACGTTTAACGAGCTCTGCACGACGGAGCTTTTCCTGCAGTTGGAGCCATTATTTAAGGCACACAGGCACAGCTGCTGCACATTAATATTAAAGCATTGAAATGCGCAGCCGCGCAGTTGCGCATTTCGGCTGTGGCATAAACATTGTGCCACAGTCGAAAATTCGGGCAGCGACCGGTTATTGGGGTGGCTCGTGGAGCACGGACGGGGGCGAGGGGTGCCAAAGGGGACAGTCGCATCCAGCTTGTGGGAACGGCCATCGATATCCAGCTTAAGGCATGGACAGAGAATGTTTGCTGCGACTGTCGCTGCTGCTGCTGCTTTTGTTGCTGCCTGAACGATTTCCAGTTTCAGTTGAATTTGAGCAACAGGCAGCACAGGTAACGATCGTCGCAGAGGCCGCCGCTGCTGCTGCTGCTTTAGTTTCGCTTTCGGTTTCTGTTGCTGTTCGTTTGATTTAAGAGCCAGAACGAGGATGAGCCACGGCGGGCAGCTGCAAAAGTACAATAACAACAAGTTGTAAACGGGTTTCGTGTTGCAAGTGGGAAAGGCGACGCGTGCAGCGTCGCGACGTTGTTGTCTGCGGTTTCTAAGCGTGTAACAAAATAACAAAAACATCTAGAGAAAATAAAAAGAAAATTGAAATTTACTGCGAATACAAATATCGATGAGTCAGCTCGGGGTCTGTTTTGTTTATGCAACCAATTGCCACACAGCGTGCGACCCAAACATTTATTTGCTTTTCTTAKTTTGTTGTTGTTGTTTTTGTTGTACAGTGTACACCAGCTGCCTGTTGTTGTTGTTGTTGTGGTTACTGAGCATCAATTTGCATGTTCTTTGAACGACTCAATTTGTCTCGCTGTATCAAGGCATACACATACACGCACACATGCATACATGCATATGTATAAGTGAGTGTATCTAGATGATGGCGCAAAGTTCAATGGAACGTAGTGACACACACGCTCGTTGCCATTGCAATTGGCCTCTACGAGTCTAATTGGAGTCGGCATTTCTTTAATATGTTTCCTCTGACTGGAATTCTCTTTCTGTCTATGCATATGTGTATCGAGCAGAGTGACAGCAAGTGAGTCAACTGTGTTGCTTTTGCAGCTGAATGCGACACAATTTCGTTATCTTATCCGCCGAAATCATTGACGCGCTGTGGCTCAAATTGAAAAACAATAACAATAGCAGGTCGGAGTCTATTGTTTCAGACAGTCGGCGTCTGGCATTGGGTGCCTCAACATAAGAGACGACCTTGCTCCAGAACAAACAACAAAAACATTCCCAAGACACCCTGTATTAAATACTTGCGCATGCAGCCAACAGCGGCTTAGCCGAGAGCGAAAGTAAGTGCTCGGGATAGCGAGAGCGAGCGAGAGGGAGATCGTCTGTGTGAGCGTGTGGGAGAGCGCGAGTAACGGCAAGTGTTGCTCTCTCACCCAGCTGATATCTAATCAAAACAAATAATGCCTCAATGCGCGTTCTGCGGTTTGAATCATTTACCTTAGTTTCAATTCTACTTCGAGAGGTGCTCGTGGTAGCTGTTCATTTCGCAGTGCAATCAAATTCAACAGAACAAATACAATACATAAAAAAAAAAAAAAAAACAAAAGCAACAGTGTAATTAATAGCCGAAAGTGTTTTTAATTGTAATTTAATCAATAAAAACCAACAAACGACAAAATTGTTAATCGAATTTCAAGAAATACAGCTACAACTTCTACAGCATGAAGTACAAATTTTTGCTGCTGGTGAGTGGCATATAGTATTATATATAGTCGTATATTTATGTATGTGTATCTAAAATTTCAGTTTTCTTATCTTATCTGAAATTGTTGTTGTTTTTTGTTTGTGGTTGGGGTTTGCTATGAAGCACCTAAATACAGTACTCAGTTAAGATTATGTACATATATTGATACTGTTCAGATACATTATATATTATACATATTATATATGCATATACATATGTGTGTGTGCATGCATGGTATAAATTCTCTACTTGGGGAAACCTTTTTATGGTACGCAGAATGTTGAAAAAACAAAACATCATTTAATGACATTTACTATGAATATATACTATAACGTATATATGTGTATAAAGATAGTATTAATAGGTATTTTAATAAGTGCACAATAATCTTATTGACGTTAAAATTAATCATATAAAAGCTTTCAATATGTAAGGCCAATGCGAATCTAGTCTGAAATCTATATTATCTATTATATATATATATGTATATTATTGTTTTTGGAATATTTTTTGAAA